TACTATAAAGCCACTTGGCAATCTTAAAGAATTTGTGGGAGATTGTCAAATAAGAAAATATCACTTAAGAACTATATATTGAATTTTATTTATTAAAATAAGAATTTTTTTTTTTAAATAAAGTTCAATCATTGTACTAATTTTTTCTAACTGAAATTTTTTATTTGGAAAGTAAAGAATTTTGATATCAATAGTATTTGGATTCATTTTCTAATATCGAGTGAGAAGAATATATCCTACCGTAATCTAATATGCAATTTTAATTTATTTTAAAAATTCAATACTTTTTAATGAGTTGAAGAATATATTTTAAGGTTTTAACCTAAAGTTCATAATGTAGATATATTTAATAACTTATTTATTTCATAATGGATAATTTAAAGTATCTAGTTTAGACTAAGTTTTCTGAATTTTAAACAAATATACAATAAAAATAATTTTTTTAAAGGTTAAAAGCTTCAACGAAAATAATAATTACTAGAAGTTTAATAATAAAAATACCATAATATTTTGTTGAAGTACTATATAGTTTGATCATATGCACTTTTCTTTTTGTCTATTATTGAATAAAACCCTAAATGAAAAAATTAAATAAAATATCATATATATTAAAACAAGAAAGATTGCATTATGGTTAAGCCAAGTGGCAAGCTACTATGAAGCCACTTGGCAATCTTAAAGAGTTTGTGAGGGATTGTCAAATAAGGAAATATCAGTTAAGAATTATATAGGGAATTTCATTTATTGAAATAAGAATTCTTTTTTTTTTTTAAATAAAGTTCAATCATTGTACTAATATTTTCCAACTGAAATTTTTTATTTAGAAAGTAAATAATTTTGATATCAATAGTATTTGGATTCCATTTCTAATATCGAGTGAGAAGAATATATCCTACCGTAATCTAATATGGAATTTTAATTTATTTTAAAAATTCAATACTTTTTAATGAGTTGAAGAATATATTTTATGTTTTAACCTAAAGTTCAGAATGTAGATACATTTAATAATTTATTTATTTCATAATGGATAATTCATAGTATCTATTTTAGACTAAGTTTTCTGAATTTTAAACAAGTATACAATAAAAATAATTTTTTTAAAGGCTAAAAGCTTCAACGAAAATAATAATTACTAGAAGTTTAATAATAAAAATACCATAATATTTTGTTGAAGTACTGTATAGTTTGATCATATGTACTTTTCTTTTTG